AATATAATTAATTAAATTCTTTTATTTAAGATAAAAGAATCCACAGGGGTATAGTTAGGCTTTCTTATTATATATTAGTAATATTTTATACTTAATATTATATTAAAATAATAATTAGATTTAAATAATTTATCTATTCCTGTATTAAACTGTTTTACTGTAGTTCTAAAATATTTTAAATAGAATAAAATCTCTAGGTTAAGAGATACTGTAAACAGAAGATAATAATTTATATAAATAGTTATAATAATAAATAATAGACTCTATATTTATTTATTAGTTTTTTAATACTATTAAGTAATAAGAACTGCAGGATAATATTTATATATATTTTAATAAGTATTTACTAATAAAAACTACTTAAAAATAAGTATTTTATAATAGGAAAATAATAAATTCTAGAAAATTATAATATTAATAAAATAAAAAAAAGAGAAGAGAGAAGTATAAAAAAACTATTATTATTATAATAGAAATAATATTATATTTCTAAAATAAAAAAGTATTATTTAGAATATATTAATCTAATATAAAGTAATATTATTACTTTCTACTACTAGTTATTATATCTATAAAAATAATTAATTTAACTATTAAATTAGTAGTATTATACTACTATCTTACAGCTAAGAATAGCTGCTATTAAGAAAGAACTAAATTATTATAGTTAATTTATATAACTAAGTAATTATTATAATAGAATACCTATATCTTAGTTATAAAATAGTTATGATATTAATAATTTAGTAGAATCTATATTTTAAATATCCAGGTCTTGCTATATACTAGAAAGGCAAGGATTAGTCTATATTTATATAATACTAGTACTTTGATTCTACACCTAGCTGACCTTTTTCCTTTATAATTATATATATCAGATAAAAGGTTATATCTATATAATTATAATAATTCTTAACCTAATATTTAGGCTTAAGAAATTTAAGAAAGATATATAGCTTAATAATAATATTAATTAGTATAATAAATACTAGACTATTTTTAAAAAAATATTTTATTTCTATTATAGTTAAAATCTAGTTATTAATATATTATTTATTATCTCTAGATTATTTTTAGATTTAGATAAAGTTTTTTATAATATTTTTAAATACTAGAGGCTCTTACCTGCAGCAGAAATATTTAAGAAATTTAAGATATATTTAAATATTAAAAATATATAGTTTATTAACTTATTTTTAATTTAACTAATATTATTCCAGGTATTATAAGATATACTAATATTCTTATTTATTAAAAATCCTATTATAATTAGTTTTCTATTTTTTATTAGATAATTAGAGATTTCTTATCTATTATAACTAATAGTATTAATATTAAATATTTATTTAATAAATCTTAAGATATCTATTATTATTACTAGAATTATCTTTAGCTTAATATAATTAAAATAGTTATACTTTAGATATATATTAATTATTTTATTATAAATAAGGAGTACCAGGATATCCTTAAGAATCTTAATCTAAACTTAATTATTTTTATACTTAAGAATTAAGAGAAGAATAAGATAATTACTATCTTTTATATTAGTAAAAATAAGGATATAAATAATTTAAAAAATAATTTAGAAAATAGATTATTATTAGAAATAGAGAAAATAGCCTTATCTAAATTTATAAATATTATATACTTTTAGATAAAGGCTTATTTTTTATAATTTCTATATTATTATAATTACTATTCTAGATAATATAAAGAATAATTAGTATATATATCTTATATTAAATATTATTCTTCTTATACTAAGTTCTGTAAAAACTTTTTTTAAAGTATAGTATATTTCTTAAAAGAAATAAATAGAATAGATAGAAAAGATAAAATAAATAAAATAAAAAGAATAGATAAATTAAATATAAAGAATATAACTATATTATAATTAAAAATATATTATACTTTGTATATTATCTATATAAGAGAGATATATATATTATTAATTAATCTATAGTTAATAATCTATCTACTATATCTAATCTTTCTAACTGGTAGGTATAAATAGTTAAAGTAATAGTTATATCTTAACCTGACCTTAACTGTATAGTTAAATTACTTTTTATACCTTAACCTGACCACCAGGTTATGGTCAGGTTAAGGTTAAGGTATAACAGTCAGGTTAAGCCACTCTACCTGAAGCCGAGCTCTATATCGGGGCCTTGGTCCCATAACAAAGAAGATCTATATCAAAATTAGCAAAAAGCTGCTGAAAAACAAGTACTTTATTATAATAACTATTATAGTACCCTATCCTTTAAAAAAAGAGATAAAGTAGTATATATTTTTAAGAGAGATAACTTAGTTAAACTATTTATTAAAAACTTAAAGTTTAAAGAGATAGTTTATAAACTAGTATCTAAATTTATTAGGTTATTCTAAATTATAGATATAATTAAAAAATAAATATTTTACTTATATCTACTAGTAAAATATAATTATTTATATAATATCTTTTATATATCTTTTCTAGAACCTTAGAAGATTAAAAAAGATAAGACTAAATTATTATCTATACTTAATCTAGATAATAATAATAAGTAGAAAATAGAATAAATACTAGATAATCTAATATTATAAGATAACTAATTCTACTTTATAAAATAGAAAAAATAGTTTTTAGAATATAATTAATAGTTATTAGCTAAAAACTTAGTAAATACCCTGCAGAAAATATATAAATTTAAAAAAATAAAATTTAAAAAAAAAACTAAATAATAGATAGGCTGCTATATAGTATTTATATAATTTACTTCTAGAATAATAATAAAACTAGATAATATAATATAAATACTATTAGTAATAATCTTCTTATAATCCTTATATTTTTAGATACTAATAATCTAGTATTTAATAATATTTCTTCTATTAAAAATAAGAATATAGTAGAATACTTCTATCTTTCTTATAAAATTAAGAAGATATTATACTTAGTATAGTATTTATTAGTAATACTAATCTTTTTAATATACTTTATTATCTTAACTAAATTCAGCTGTTAAAAGTTGTAGATATATATATAATATATATTTAGAATAATAATAAAATAAAATAATATAAAACCCATAATATAGAATTATAAATATAAATAATATAAAATAATAATATAATATATCTGGTTCTGCTATAACTATAATTATTATATAGTTTAAGATATAGATTTAATTAGTATTTATTTAGAATAAACTATAAAAAGAAAAATTAAAAAATAAGATATTATTTATAAAAAAATAATACTGAAATAAAATTACTATTATAAATTATAAGTAAATTTAACAGAAAATAAGTTTTTTATATTAATAATATACTACTACTCTTTTCTTTATTTATTAGTATAAAAATATCCTAACTCTAAGATAATATTATTTAAATAAGATATTATAATATAATACTATAGTATATAGCCTATATCTTTTATTATTAATAATAAATATTTATAATTAGCTTTAACTTAGACTACTAGAATATAATAAGATCTAATCTACTTATAATATACTATAGTATTTTTCTGCTAAATAATTAGTAAACTAAAAGAAAACTATAATATATATTTATAATTATAGACTTCTTAGTAATTATTATAAGCCTATACTTAACTTAATATATTTTTTTAATATTAATAAATCTACCAGCTACTGCCGCTATAAAGTTACTAAAAATAGTTTTTAGGTGGCTGCCTCTGAACTGCAACTCCTGGCGCAGTTGGCCGGTGAGAAAATGAGGAGAGAGATGCAAGCACTGGCCGAAGGCCACGCTTGGATGGAGTAAGCACTAGTAAAGAGCGGTCTTCGATGGTGCGATTTGAGAGTTCGAGTGTCCCAGCTAAAATAGTTCTTTCTTCGAAGCAGATGATCGTCAACTGCGAGATGTTGAACTGATGAATGTCGCTTAGTGCAAGATAATGATTGTGCTCAACCTTTTGGCTCACGTCCCATGGTCTTCGTCCACTATGTTTGATGTTTTCTGCTAATGCCAATTTGCGTTTGTCGAAGGTCGGTCTCTAGATCAGAACACCAAGCGCACTGATGCTGGCCAAGAATGTAGTACTGACACATGGAGCTGCCAAAGTCGAGTCCAATTGAGGCCGAGTTACCTAAAATTATGATCAAAACAACCACGTAGCCTTTCCATACAACGAAAAAGTACTTCTCGCTATCCAAGCATGTTAGAGTTGATGATTTCATTGTAGACCATAAGTTTACCCGCATCCATGCCTAGAATATCCATAACAGCCAGTTCCTCTCCTACCGATACCGTTAGATGCACGAGAATTTCTAGACCATGGGGTTGTTTTGGGGGGCCAAACCAGCGGAATCTTAAAGCGCACTAGGGTTTGTTCAACCATTTGAGAATGCTGAGCAGACTATATGTTGCATCAAGAATTTCGTGTCTATAAATACTGCCTTATTCTAATGAACATCTTTTTTGTTTATCAATGGAGTTGAAACTCATTCGATCCAAACTTCTTAGAATTTGAACCCGTACGGCATTGCTTAGCTTAGCCCAAGCAAACGTCACCTATACACCCCTGAGTGTAATCTATCCGCTTTGAATGTTTATTAGATATCCTTAATTATCTCAGGTTCAGTGGGGCTATTCTGCACTAGAGATTAATTCGTCTGATGAGTTGGATCGAGCTTAGTGGGTCTCTCCGAGCTAGGCATGACACCGAGACGAATGCCAGAATGCAAAGATCATTCTATAAAGGAGAATGGATTTTCATCAGCGACGAGGCAATAATTGTTCTTTGAGAGCACAAGCAACCGAGCTCTAGCAACAGTCGAACTTAAACAATGCGATCCACACTACGCTTATCACGATAGAAAACTCTGCAGACGAGTTGGTTATTAGAGATCTATGAAAGTTCTTTTGGGAAGGCTGTTCTATAACATCTCTTAATCTTGATAACCGCTTTTGACATCCGATATAATAGGATCTAGAACCTTTCCAGAAACGTGATAAAGGAGGCATTGATACGTGGTTTTTCTCCATTCTGCTATTATCCCGGCAAGCTACATGGGGGAATCCAAGCATTCTACCTCGATCAGGTTCTTACCGATTGCTGTCCAGGAGCTGTCACGGCCAGTCTAGCTATTTCCTATTTACAACCGATCGACCCTCAGTCTTCCCTCAAAGTCAGTGCCTGGCCTGTCAAAGTTGAGGGACGAAAGCTGTACATGGAGGCGTGTATCAAGGTGCTTGAAAATAGCACCGGGACCATGATCAAGGCTACTCATGCCAAGGCCTTAGTTATCATGCCCAATGCTTAGGTTAGGATGCATGACTACAGCTCGAACACATAGCACTAGTCAGAAATGATCTAATGTCATTAGACCATATCTTTATAGGGTTAAAGATTACAACATAATATTACCTCGATATCGAAGTTGGACAGTATCTTGCACGTTTGGAATATATATTCTTATATTCTTTCGCTCTTAATGAGCGCCACTCTCGTAGACTAGCTTAAACTAGGATAAATCTGTTATTTTGGCTTTTCTACGCATCGTGCGATACAGGATAGTACGGCATGTTAAGAACTATTTTATGTTCACACTGAAGTCTAGATGATTTTATGTTATCTGTATCTTCTACCTTCCCTGAATCCGAAGTCACTAAAATTGAAAAACCGACTCTGGCAGGTTTCGATTATCGGGGCTCCTATTATGTGACCCGGCGCTCGATCGCATCAAGTGTACCATTGCCTCGGGCAAGCTAATTTGTCCATGTATTATGACCTTAAAACAGTATATCTAGAAGCTCTCAAGCCCTCGCCCGCTGTGATATGGAACATAATGACCTATATCAAGTAGACCATCTTATATTTCCAGTTCAGGTGCTCGTTGCTTACAAGCTCCTTCAGGCAGCCCTCATCAAATAGGCAGCTTCCAACACGAGTTTGCAAAAGTGGTCCAAACTCGCTTTTTTCTGTGACAATGAAAAAGTCCTCAGGCCTGCTATCATAGCAGGTATTGATGTAGACAAAATTAAATAAGTAACCCTCTGCACGACTGATCGGTGAATCAAAACACACAGTACCAAAGAAATTTTTTTTTTTTCGACCTTCTTGAGATGGTGGCAAAGGTGCATGGCAGTATCCGCCTTCATCATTGTCCCCTTTTGTGACGCATAACTCAAATTGAATGGTCTCAAAAGCGATCAAGCAGTCAACCAAGCTTTGAGGCAAGCCATATAACATCTGTGGTGCCGGTCGTGCTTGACAGTGGATTTCTCTAAGAATTTCTTCGCACTCACCCGCAGATGGGAAAGTTTTGAAGTCGACTGAGAATATGCCATCGTCAAAATCTGAGTTTTCTTCAGTCTCTGAATATCTGCCTTCCAATAACGGGAAAGCTTCTCTGGATGGGTTTGTGAAAGCTTTCGCCACATGGAGAGCATTCCAAGCATGAATTCCAAGTCCTCTTTCGTAGGCTCATTTTGTTCTGGAAAAGGAAAAAGTTGACACTCTTGAGCGTTGCCATCTTTACGAAAGCGATAGAATTGCATAGAAGGTGTGTCGAATGACCAAGCACTGATATATTCGATCATATCGTTCTCAGATCCAACCCATCCCTGCCATGACCAACTCGGCGTATAAATCAAATTATTGCTCCAATCCTTTCCCGGTTTGCGGCGCTCACAGCCACGCAGCTCAAAACACAGAGCACGGGCAAATTCTGACACCGGTAGATTGTACAAGAGATTCTTTCCAATTTCTTTTTCGCGAAACTCTCGCCAGCCATCAAATCCAAGGGCCAAGTCTTTCTGTTGAGTCATTTGACGGCTGAAGTACTCGTAAACCGCCAGGGTATAAGCGAAAAACCCTTTTTCATCGTCAGACGCATTCCAGCCCCAAAGCCCGTCCACAGATGGAAGTTCAATCTTCCTCATTGTTGTTCCTAAGTAGTCAGGGGATTCATACCACATATCCTCACAGAGAATAATGTCCTGTTTCTTGCACTTGAAGTACAACTGATCGTCGGTAACCACTAGCAGATGATTCGATCGAACATACTCGTCAAATGTCCAACCCCGCTTCATCCAGTCCGAGTCCGCCATAGCAATATCGATTTGCGGCTGAACAACAGCTATGGTTGTCTCCCCAAACTGCCTGGTCAGCTGAACTTCACGTTTGGTACTGATGCCGGGTAAACCACTGAGAGCGTCCTTGCCACTCGCCACAATGGTCACGAAGGCATTGCTATATATCTGAGCTATCGCCGTAGGTAGCTCCTTGCTTAGAGTTGTTCTCGTTTTATCGTGACATAGTGCATCTATCCACAAATAACCAATTCCCAAGGTTCGGCATAATTGGATAGCATCCAGGAAGACAAGAGGTATGTCTTGTCTTGATTTATCCAAGCTTCCTGGAGTCGAAAGCACTGCGCGCAAATCTTCTGTAAGTCGAAAGTGCTTGGTGGTGTCTTTTCCCCAAACATAACTCAGGGCAGCATAACGGGATTTGGTCTTCATTTGTTCAACCATCATGGCATCAACATTGATGAGTTTGTATGAATTCATCGGCTCGCTGGCACATCTGGAACCTCCTTCTCCACAGCAGAATTGAAGCCAGCTTTTAACAAGATCAGTGTCCGGACATTGTTCCATTCTCCTTCCTTGTAGAAACATTCTCTCTCCTAACATTGCAACGTCGATTTCTATATGTTCACCTCTTGCTGGCCTCTGGAAATCTCTGATGACTGATATGTCAAGATTACCTCCAAGAGTATATTGGTAATCCGTCGAGACTCGAAGGCGAAAGGTTTGATGAGAGTGTGGGGCAGTATCCGTGTCAAACTCGCCATGAAGAACACGAGAATAATACAAGACATCGTCTGAATCGATTGACCACCTTTCACGAGGGCCGCGTTTTTTGCATGCCTGAAGCAAAGCCTCGTAAATAAAACCACATAGCGTACATTCTGATGAGTTTTCTCTAAGATTGAGAAAAGATCTTTGAAAAAGGTAGCCCAGTCCCCGACCATAGGACATGTGCCAGAAGCTTTCCGAACTGAAGTAGTCGGAGCATTTTGAGCATAATTTCTTGTCATAGACCATAGTTAGAGGTTAGAAATCTATAGTATAATTGATGATCTGGACCAAAAACACAGAGTGTCTGTTGACAAGGTTGGATCGGATTTTTCTTTCTGGTTGTCAGAAAAATAAAGCTACTAGTGGTGAAGTGACCGAAAAAATGTCTACTAGAATATGACATCCTCGAAGCTACTAGACTTTAGGCAGCAACATAGTTTATCACCAATACCAACACTGCCACACCTTTAAGGTGGGATCTTACAAACGAAAATTAGCGTTGGACCAATAATCAAAGCTCTTTTACCGCTGCGGCGCAGTCAGGTTACAGCATAGTACATACAGGAAAACATAGCCCAGGGCTTACAATCTAGTGATTAGACATCCCATTCAGTTAATATGAAACGATAAGAGGAAAAAAGCTCGCAGTTGGTCAGAAAGCCTCTGCTGTGCTAGCATAGCTCATGGCTAGTTATTCCAAAATATGAGCGGCAGGTCTGGGCCCCTCTTCCGGAGGCATGCATGAACGTAACTAAATTTCTAGAATCGCTTCGATTTGAAAAAGCCGGTTTGATCGGGCTGTTTCTCGTCAAATCACCTTGACTCTTGGTATCTCTAGGTCTCGATGAGCGTATGATTGATGGCCGGGCAACTTATTAGATACAATTTGATGGACAAAGCTACCTATGACATGAAGAGACTTCTGATAAGTAGGATTACTTAGAGACAAATCAGGGACCAGATGCTCCATCAGGTGGCCCTGCGGAAACGGGCGGCTACGGACACGCCAACGACTGAAAGGTCTTGCATTGCGCTCCACTGGATTTCACCCTTAGCATTATCATCTTCAAGTGCCGATACCGCAATTCTTGTAATGCAGCACCTCATACAAGATCCTAGATCTGAATGGTCTTTCAAATTTACTTGTGCAAGCTGATCTGAAAGTTAGCAGAAATGTGCTGTGTAAGTTTTCAAAATTACATTCTAATGCATAGATGTCCTGAAAAGCTGCATAATGAAAGCAAAAACCATCAATTCAAAAAGACTCCGTCCAGTCATGGGTTTCGATCCTTGGAGCCGGGCGTTCAAAGCATTGTCATCACGAAACCCAAAACCATTAACTTTTTTATACCAGATCATTCTCAATGATATATAGGCACTCGATGTATTACTGAAATGGTCTGGTTGCTCTTGAGGTGAATGCCGGTATCATAACAGATTGATGGCGCCGCTCCACACTCAAGTGAGGACGAGGGAAGATTTGCCCTAAACGTGCGCCGATGGTGCGATACTATTCGGCGAACGTTCAAGCGCTTATATCTTAGGCTCCTCGTTTCTCCCTTCCTCCACCTCTTGTTCCTGCCTCGCATCACCTGTCTTCATGGTAATTGAGTTCCATAGTTTCACTTCGGCAGGAAGCAGCTCGCCCGGGAAGAAAGTAGGCAGCATACTTTTCCCCGTACGGGGATACTTCTTTTCGACTTGGACCAGTGTTTCCATTACCTTAAAATGGCCAATGACCTCTTCGAACTTTAAGACAAAGCCAAAGCTTTCCGGTGTTCGTCGCGCTCCGGCGGTGAAAACATTCTGGAGAATACCAATACCGCCGATAGCAAGCAGGAACCAAGTGTCATGCGTTATAGCAGAGGCTGTGATCAGGAGGCAGGTCCACATGGCTGCCAGTACTGTGATGGTGACCCGAGTCAAAAGGGAGGTTGAAACGTCAATATTGGCCTGCCCTGAAGCCAGGGTCTCCAAATCGAGACAGAGGTCCTTGTCACTAAGGATGACAATGGCATGCTGGCTGCCATTCCCCTTGGTAAGTATCACCGGCTTGCCGGCGCTGCGGTTGGGCCGCCCTGCCCATTTCTCGAGCTTCCACTGGCCCAGCGCGCCGGTGATCATGGCGAGGAAGATTCCGGCACCCGTGACGAGCAGGATAGCCCAATTCCCGAACAGCCCGTAAGGGATAGCTGCGATACCCAGCTGAATAAGCCAAGTGGCAAGTCCGGTAAAGTAGACGCGATCATAGCCCGGGTGGCCGGGGACAGTTTGCACCGCGCGGTAGACCGAGACACAAAGCCCAGCCTGCCGTGGTCGTGTTATCTCGCCATGCGTCTGCTTTTGCTCTCGCTTCGTAGCCTCCCAGCTGTCGTTTAATATGCGAGCCAGGCGTTGGTGCACAGGGCCTTCCAACATGCCCCCGTCCATCCAGCTTTCGTAGTCTCGGACCATGCGACCGAGAATCCAACTTGTATTATCACGAGCATAGCCATTCAGACCGTTGATAACCTTGCAGGAACAATCGGGCGGTGGCATGAGTCTGTTCTCGCCGACAGTCAATACCACTGCCGATACCGCATAGGCCACCCATCCTGCGCGCAAGTATTAGCGAGAATATTGACCAAGACGTATTGGGAATGATAACTGGGCCTGACAAACCAAATGAGAACGCTACCGGCGTCAGGCGTGACCCTGACACCTGCGCGAGGGCTCTTGCGACAACGTCGCCGCCAAGGATCAATAGAACAGAGAACACATCGCTGGGGCTCTTCCATTGCTCGGCGAACTCGAGAGAAACCCGCCCTGAATTCAGAGTCCGGGTCAAAAAAAGGCCTGTTGTTGGAGCCATTCCTCATTACCAGGGAATGCGGATGGGAATTTAAGAACAAAAGGGGCATTGCAGACAAAAGGGTTCATTAAAAATAACATTGAGGGGCGGCAGGCAAGGCTGACAGCGCCCCCTCCCCAGTACAAGGCTTCCGAATACCGGTGTCGCTACCTACAGTCTTCGATTGTTTCAGCAAGCCGAAACTCAAACCAAGCTACGCAAATACTGGCACGGAGCTAGGAGATCATTGAACTGTGTATGTATGGTACATTATACTCTGGTCACATGAACGTGTTTGTGGAACCCAGAGCATATGCCCTTATGTCTCACGTAGCTTCCAACTCCAGCTTTGAAGGGAAATAGTCCCAGGTTTGACCAGTACTTGCAACCATATCAGAAATATGTCTTCCAATCCAACTCAATCCAATCTGTGTCATATTTAAGACATTTTGATGAGGAGAAAGCTAAGTTGTTCTTAAATGGCTAAGATCTGCACGTACGTATTGTTTGGCTTTATTGCAGCTCAAGGTGACCGTAATACATGATAAATACATAGCAGATTAAATCAATCCTGAAGTTCTCTTGGCTATTGAGTGCGGGGTAGGTTGACAAAAAGGAATTGAGACCAATTATAGAGGTACACGTAGCTCGCTTATATTTGACCAAATGCTGATCAAAGCGACCTTATGATCTTCTGCTAGAATAAGTATTCCGATATTGTTCTTGGTCAAAAAAAACAAGAAACCATTTAAATACTCTACAATTGACAATCTTTGTACTGCAATCTTGCATAAAAAGCATGATGGCATTGACAAGTATAAATCAGGGCAGAGATGGTATATTCAATCATCAAAAACCTACCGATTACTAACTAAACTTGCAAGGCACTGTAGCATTCTAGATGACTTGTACTAATCTGATTTCAACCCTTTTTTCTCCATTTATTCGATGTCCTATCCTGGTATTTCAGAACAGGAGTTTTTTCGTCGGGATGACCTCGAGTTGAGAGCCCATCTTCTAAATACTTATTCAACCTTTCCTACACAGATTATTGTCGTAGTTAAATAACACCAGATGTCTCCAATTTTGTCCTGTTGCCACATTTAAGGATGTTCCACACAAATGGGGCCCACACAGCCCGTGGAATGAATGGTTTCTTTCCATGCTCGAATCAACTGAACCGTAGCCTGATTTTAGGCTTGTTTTGAAAATGCAGGACGGAATAACGTCACGCGACAGATATGCTCCCGACTCCACCCCGGCCTCATGTTGTCAATCGAGTTGACAGCTTGAACATCCATTGATAATAATCTCGCTTATTACATTGACTAAGTCTCGGAAAGTATCACGAAAATGTTCATCTCGCTATTCTACCAACCTCGAAAAGGCATCGGAGACGCATCTGCAAAAACCGGGTTACGCTGCATGTTTATATTCTGAATACCTCGTTTGCTCTTGCAGTCGAAAGAGTTAGTTCTCCATGAATATCTTCGACATTGATGGGCAGAGCTGTCTCGCGTGCCGTCTTGGTGTCCATATTGCTGAGCCATTCAATCTCAAAGATATGAGTACTAGATTCAGCCTCTATGGTAATCTTGGAGGGGCCAGCAAAAAGAGGCCCATATGTCCCATTGGGTCCCACAGTTTCACGGAGCTTGTGACCTTGGTTGAGTTTAGTCGAGGCAACTGAAGCCCTTTCATATTTTGGTTCTGTGAAATAGCTTTTTTCGATAGAGCTTTCACCGCCAGAAATTATTGATTTCGCCTTTCTTATCGAATCCAAGCATTGGCGCTCGCTACTGCCATCATGAGAGCACTCTTTAGAGCTAGACCTTTGTTTCAGTTCGGATCCAGTCTTTAAGATCTCCTGACTGCATTCACTTCCCTTCAATGAGGGGTTTCCTGTTGAATTAGAATTATAATTCTACTTAGTCTTTTTTCTCTAAAAGAAGAATAATTAGTTAAGAATTTTTATTAATTTAATAGTATTCCTAAGTATATCTATTATAATCTAATAATTATTTAGCTAATACTATATCTATTCTAGACTAATATTTATAAGAAAATAATTAGTCTTCTATCTGGTATACTAATAATATTTAATTAATAAAACTATATTAAAAATATAACTAATTATAAATAACTTTATAGAGTCCTTAATATAATTCTTAATAAATATTCTTAAATATTTTAAATAGAATAAGATCTCTAGAGAAAAGAAAACCTCAGCTAGAGAATAAAGAGTAGATTATATAAATATCTTAGAAAACTATTAGATCTATATCTACCTGTTAATTTCTTAGTAATACTAAGTAATAAATAATATAGATTAATATTTATATATATTTTAATAAATATTTAATAATAAAAACAGTATAAAAATAATTATTTTATAATAAAAAATAATAAAATATAAAAAGCTTAATATTAATAAAATAAAAGAGAGAAGAGAAAAAAGAATAAAAAAATTATTATTATTATAATAAAAATAATATTATATTCGTAGAATAGAAAAATACTGTTTAGAATATATTAATTTATATTAGATTAATATTATATCTTTCTACTGCTAAATGTGTATTAATAAAAACAGTTAATCTAATTATTAAATTAGTAGTATTATATTATTATCTTACAACTGAGGACAGCCACTACTAAAGAAAAGCTGAATTATTATGGATAATCTATATAACTATATGGTTACCATGACAGAATACCTATACCCTAGTTATAAAATAGTCGTGATATTAATAATTTAGTAGAATCTATATCTTAAATATCCAGGTCTTATTATACTCTAGAAAGGCAAGGATTAGTCTATATCTATATAATACCAGTACTTTGATTCTACACCTAGCTGACCTTTTCCCTTTACAAACTACTAACAGTAAAAGTTCTGATATTATATATATATATTATTTTTAACTTATCTTATTAAAGATACTCATCCCTTCTGTAATTATTATACAGCCTCTTATTACTGATTAATATAAACCTTAATGTAAACCCGAAATGAACCTTTTAATTATCAAGCCACACTGTGGAACTCACTGTTAATGATTAGCTGGCCGGTAACAGATCATTAGGTAGAGCCCGGCTTCCTGGAGGAGCGGGATTCGCTTTCTTAGAATATACTTTCTACCTGTGCGCGAACCACTGACAGGGTTCTATGATATAATTTCAATTTTTCCTCGCTTCCGAGTTCCGCCCAATCATACGCTGTTAAATGTGCTCTAAAGATACATATAACATGTTACGCCTCTTTCCTTTCCCTCTCATTGACCCCGCCTAAAAACTAGTCAATAGAGGAATAGCAGCGCTTAATCTCGAAGTTTAGAACATTTTCCAAGTAGTTGGAATTTTCTTAGTCAAACAGTGAATCGAGATAACTGAAAAGACCCCATTACGTCTACTGCTTCCAGCAATTACTCTGACCACTACCGTCTCTCCCGTGTCGAATAATGCCAAGCAAACACGCCGATCTTTAGCTTGCACCACTTGCCAAAAGAGATAAACAAAGATATTAATTCTATTATTTATCTGGCCTGAACATTATTAACATGGTAGTGTTCTGATCCGTCCCCATACGACCAGTGTGTGGCCATGAAAGCCAGTTGCACATTCAACGCAAGGCGAGACAGGCATTAAAAATTCGCGCCAAAGAAGACAGAACAAACCCAAGATACACTTATAAAACTTTTTGCTCTTCTACGACAAGGAACTTCTGATAATATTCTCAAGCTCTAAGCAAACATAGAAACATGTATCTCAACCCAAGACACTATGGAAAGGTTATTATTATTTCTAACAAATCCTCCGGCGCTGTTTACTAGTTATAAACTATAAGCTCTGAGCAAGCATAAGCACACTAGGTGTGCTGTGGATGTCTGACAATGTGTGTGAAAATCATGCTTGTTGTTTCATGGCCTGCGACCCAAAATAGCCAGGGTCCTGCTACTCATTCGTCTTATCGAGCTAGTGGCTTAGCTATTACTTTCCCTAGGTCGCAACTTTCAATTATACCATTAATGCCTCTGGGATGACTTCGTTCGCGGCTTGTATTCCCTATGAATCGACTTACCATGCTGTAGCATCGTTTACTACCCTGAAGATTACTGATGAGGCGCGGAGTCTCATACATGGTATGCTATACCCGCCTATGGCTCTGCCGATGAGCATGGCATGGACTGTACCGGTCGTCAGGACGCTGACGATACATTAGTTGCCAGAGAGGCTGGCTAGGGAATATAATGTTCAGCCGGGCCTAGCTAGCCAGGCAGCGTATGTGGGGATTGTGTCGTGGGTGAAGAGTGTTTACCCATTTGTACCATTAGGTTTGAAAGGACGGCTGTCCAGGGAGAATATAAAGAATGTCAGGAGGTCCGTGGCTCCAATCAAGGAGACTGGGCATTGGGGGGGCTAAGTGATCATTTCCTTTTATTTGTAATCGGCTGTATATAGACTGCACTTGTACCTCGGCGGCCCGTTAAGATTAGATGACGTTAAGGACACGATATTAATGTTATCTACTTTCAACACGGTGAGTAAGGGCTGCAATATCAGGATACCTCTACCATGTGGGTCTTTGAATGTACCAGGTCTGTGAATTGGGAGCTCGAGGAGTCGTGCACAGACCCTGGTGATACACTGCAAATGCGACGGTGAGAGCGAGACGACCTGATGCTTACCAAATAGAAGGCTTGAGAAATATTCCTCGCTCTTTTGTGCCATGTTCTGACCCACCCCAGTGTATCTATTTATAGGGAAACTTTGTGCTTCCACCCCTTTAACAAATAGATATAACATAGCAATTGCCTTGGCCTTACGATCTCGGGTGGCGGTACATAAATCAACTCAACTTCAATAGGAGAGTGGAATTGTTGACTGAACCAGATAGACATGGATTACCCCATAAACTTTATCTCATAGCTGCCCTTCAGCGATATTCCAAATTCCACTCCAGCCTGCCTAAAGAGTTCACGGAGAGGGTCGAGTTTTTCACTGATAAACTTGGCCACGGACGTTGTATTCCACATAGGACGACGGAGAGAAAGCCGGTCAGGTGGTGGTAACGAAGACTCAGCGAGGGCTGAGTAGACTTCCACGCGCTTCAAATTCGGCACTTGCTCGTCACAACTGTAGAGCAGATCTTTGAGGTTCTGAACGAGTAAGTCACAGTGCCTTTCCTGGCAGTAAGCCGCACGCAGAACTATTAAACTTCGAGGTAAGATGTCCTTCAAAGAACTGAGACTCTGGTTGCGATCCTTAGGATGGAAGGGCAGCAGATTTTGCACGGGCAGACATAGATCCGTTAGACTCTCAAACAGTGCAAGCGAACCAAACCATCTGCTCCAGGGCCCATCGCGACTATCGTCCGTGCCATCGTCTTCACTGTCGCTCTTGTCAACGCCGCTCGACAAGCAGTCATCCGTTAAATGGAGGACTTCGAGACTTTGCCGCTGTGCGAGTAGCGGCCCGCGAAATTTGCGCGGGCGGAATTTGCTATACCGCTGGCCCAAATAGACCGGATCATTGTGCGCATAGGTGAATTGCTTGAGGCTGGCACAGGAGTTCATGAAGTTCAACATTCCATATCTGGAATTGCAGTTACGGTCCAGTTTAAGAACCTTAAGTGATGAAGTCGCAGGGGCTGCATGGAGAGCCAGATGGTTCTCGTCGTCATCTGGCTGGTCATGATCGTTCACGCCCTCTACATCCATAGAGCAGATAGACGGGAGATGAAGGAAAGGAGTAAGTTCATAAGAATGAACGTAGTCCTTCCAGTCCTCGATTTTCAGCTGAAGAGATTCGAAGCGCTGTAGCACCGGTCGATCGTCAAAAGGGGGCTCCTTGAAGGCTGCACGAGAGACAAGACGAGTTACCCACTTGGGATATTTCAGGTTCCCTTGTAGAATGGCCACATTGGGTAGCACAGTAAATAGCAAGGCAATCCAAGCTCCGTCGCGATACTCCTCGAGGTCTAAAAACCACTCCTCCGCCTCCTCTGATGACTTGCTGAGCTGGTTAACGAGATCCTGCAAGGCAGTGCTGAGGGTGGGCTGGTCGTCTAGATCCGATGCGAATCTCATATAGATGAAGACATCCCGGATGGTTTCTGCTATTTCAGGATTTGATAGAGCAGTCTCAATCAGCCGTCGTAGGCGATGAGTGCTGACGTGGGCGCTGCTGTAGAGGCGCTTGAAAAGAATAGAACGCCAGTCGCGGCAGACCTGCAGCAGGCTACATCGAGTTCTGTGGCTGTTAGGAAGCTCATCTGCAATTGCAAGGATGATCTCGGCAGGGAGGCACTCCATAGCTCCTTTCTATATATAACTAGGGAACAAGGAAGGTGGTCTGATCGGTGACAAGGAGATTTTTGTTGGGGTTCGCAGTTGCGTCTAACTGAATCTGTCGTGTTCAAAAACAGTGGACGAGATGCACCACCACCGCAAAAAGCCCCAGCACATCTAACAAAGATTACTCATGATTTTAATAGTAAATATTTTAATTATTTAGTTATTCACTCGTTACTTATCCGACACCGCCGAGGCCAACTAGAGCGATTCTCGACCCCGGGGCCGAGCTTTTCTCCCATATCTAACGGAGCAGTGCGTCACGACTGATGAAATCACGATCGCGTGCGAATGGGACCGTTGATAATGGGCTTAGTGGAGTCTCCGGTCGCTCTGAAGGGGGTGCGGCTATTGGTTAGGTACCTTTGATCGCGATCGGGTTCCTTACCCCAGGGGCAGATGTAATTTCATTGTGGATGAAGCCACTGTTATGTCCAACTTGGGCCCCATAATTGGAGGCAGAAAATGATATTGGTGCCATGGTGGTTTCAAGTGCCTCGCGTGTGGTTCATGACAAGAGCTTCTGTTGGACTTCGACGAGCTGAAAGGCGGGGGCGTGTCCTCAGCTGCTATGTCACGTGGCTCCCCCCACTGAGTCAAGCACTCCTTTCGCGTGGTGTGGGGCGACTGCCGTCCCAAGGAACGAAGTCTGGATTCTTGGCTTTCCAATCTGGAAGATTCCATGCAACTCAAGCAAACAATTGACTATCACCAATACGGCAACTTGTCAACATCATGCCTCCTGCCTCAACGTGCAGTTGCTTACTGCCCAGGGTTACCGCATCCGAAAACCTTGCGTGGGGCTATCCTAAGCCAAGCAGGATCATCAAGCTCTCTTAAACTGGTACTGGATTTAGTGACTTGGTGTCCACCCCCTGCTAACATAATCAGTAAGCGAACTGGCCACATAAGCGAGCCGGCCACCCCAATATGAATTACCCACTCTTTGAATATAAGGTTATTTAAATATTAATATCTCTATTAAAAAAATACCTAAATTATAAAAAAAAACTCAGTAAAATAAGAAGACAGGCTCTATTTAGTAGTTCAAACTATTCAGAAATATTAAAATTTATTAATTGATAAAGTTGTATATATTTTTAAGTTCCTTAATTAATATTATAAGAATACCTTAAGAAAATTATATTTTATAAAAAAAAAATATACTAATTCCTATAGATTAACTCCTTTAGAAGAGGACTTATTTATTAGATAAATTTATTTACTTAATAAATATAGTATAGTGCTAAGATATTTTTAAATTTATTATATATGTTACGGGACGGATGGATTATGCTAATCGAAATGTGCCTTTAAACAAGAAGAAATAGCTGGGAAGCTATTTTATCTGTTCGTATGAAATTCTTTTATGTGTGTGCTAAGCTAGTGCTAGTTTGGTATATAGTATATAAGGCTTTAGATAGTAACTGATATCTGAAGCTGAGTTCTATATCAGGGTCTTTGTGAAGGGCTGAAGTAAGACTTAAATTCAATCTAACTAGGCCACAAACTGTTTACAAAAAGCTTGGGAAGAGAGAGTTTTTTACAGACACATTTCTGTGTTAATAGGCTAAGATTATATGGTTTATATAACTAATAGTGGATACTGGTCTGTAATAATATCCTTCTCTTAGCCTAGTCCTTATCCAGGGGATTATAATATATTTATTAGTATTAATTTATTATTAAATTATTATTAAAACAGGACTATATTATTCTTTAAATATATTTAATATAATATAATCATAAATCTTATCTAATTTTTTCTATGTCTGCTTTACTTAATCTATTTATTTTATTAAAATTTTATTTTAATATTCTTAACTAATTTTTTTGTATTATATAGCTAGAATTTATTTAATTTTATACTTCTTTTCTTTATTAACTAGTAATAGGGGGGGTTGTATATTATTAATAATTTAGAATAATAATAAGTTTATAGTAGCTGGATAGACTAGTTTAATATAAAAAATTAGATATATACTAGTAAAAATATTAAGTTAAATTATATAAAATAAGGAAATCTCTAATATATAATATTAAGTATATATTTAGTCCAGCTTTTTTAATAGTTATTATATATATATATTTTAGAGATTTAGCTATATCTAGTTATTTTTTTTATAGATAAAAATAATTTATTATTTTTAATTAATTTAATTTTTTTACTAAGTCTATATAAAGGTAATAGCTGCTTAGGCCTAATCTATAATTTTTTAAAAATATTTTATAAATATTTTACTAGCTATCTCAGGCTGTATTAGGATATCTTAATTCTGGTTTTTATTATTAATATTAATTAGGTTAATATAATATCTATATATAAAGAAGAAGGATAAGATCCCTGTTAATACAGTATTATAGTTATTAATAATAACTATAATTATTAGTAATAATTTCTTCTAATTATCCTGAGTATATATAGTAAATATTTATAAAATCTGTTTAATCTCTTGATTTACCTACTCTATAGAACTGTTAGTTTACAGGTAAAAAATAGTTAATAATTAGTATTAGATTAATAATTTTTTATAAACCTTTCTCCAGAAGATATTAATAAACTAAAAACTATAGTTACTAATAATTACTAAGAATAAACTATAATATATATAAAGATAAATTAAAAATACTTTAATAATATATTCTACTATTATTTTAACTATTCTAATAAGAATTATACTTTTTATTAATTAATCTATTATTATTATATAGTTAGTAGTTTCTGATAATTTTAAGAATAGTAAATTTATAATAAAATTTATTAATATTTTAATCTAGATTTACTAAAGAATTAGTAGTAATTTTAATAATTTATACTTTATATCTTACTATACTATACTATATTTATAGATTATATAATTTTTTAAAAAATATTATATATTCTTTACTACTCCTGATTAGAAAAACTATTAAAATAATATTAAATATATAATATCTTATTCTAGATACCTGGTAATATAAAAGTTATAAATCTTTTATATAATCTTTATATATAGGACTTTATTATCAGGAATCTAGATTTATTATTAAAATTAAAATACTTTTTAATTATCTAGATAATACTCTAATAAATTTATCTTAATATTATTTTTTATAATAATCTAGTATTCTTTCTTTTATAAAGCCTAAATAATTTATTAATATATTATATTTATTATCCTGGTTTTTCTTTATTTAATTTATAACTCTAGTTTTTTAAAGAGAGAAATATTTTATATAAAATCCAGCTCTGTATTTAAAGATTTATTAATAATTAAAAAAATTATTTATTTATTCTTTATCTAGATTTCTTTAAGAAGGACCCTGAATTAATTTAATAATTTTTTATTAATATTATTTTTTAGTATATCTTGATTTTACTATAATAATATATCTAGTCAGGCTACTAGCTTATTTAATTAATAAATAAACTTAAAATTAAATTTAGTTAAAAGATCTGTTTAATATATCTATTATTTATTAAGTTATTATACTTTTCTAAAGTATTATAAGTTTTTATAATTAATTATAATAATAAATTATAGAATTATCTTCAGCTCCGGTCTTTATTTATATAAAATATATATAATAGCTAATAACTTTTTATTATAAATCTTATAATTTAATTCTACTGATAATAATTTTTAGAATAAATAGATATATAGTTATAATTATTTATTAAATCTATATTAAAATAAAACTATACTTATTACCTAACTGGAGGTATCTACTTTAATAATTATTTATTATTTTTTCTTAAAGTATACTAGGATTAAAATATTAATAAAGAGATTCTTTAATTCTATAAAGACTTATTAATAATTTTTATTTTATTTAAAAATTATATTTTTTTTTATTAAATAATTTAATAGTGCTGAAAGATCAGTAAATTATAAGATAAAAAATTAATAAAAGTTTATAAATCTAATAAAATTTTATATATCTTATATTATCTTTAATATCTTCTATACTTTAATAATCTTTATTTTCTTAAGATTAATATAAATCCTTTTCTCAGCTTATATAATAAAGTTAAAGTACTTTACTAATTCCTACTTAAACTTAGACTTTATAATATTATATTATAGTCTTATATTTAATAATTTCTATAGTACTTTACTAATCTTTTATTAGTAGTCTGATAAGATCTTATTAAAGTAGATAATTATATTATTTATATAAACTAATATAAAGTTATCTAGATACTTATATAAGGTTTAATTAATATATCTTTAAAATATAGCTAATATATTAGTTAATCTAAAAAGGATAATATTCTATTTATAGAGATTATAATATAATTAAAAGATTATCTTCTATTCTTCTTCTAGATAAACATAAATCTTATAAAATATAGTAATAATATTAAGTTTAGTAAACTAATATACTTAACTTATATTTTATAATATTTTATAGATTAGTAGTAGAAGATAATAATTCTTTATTATTTATTTATTTAATTTTTAGTAATTAATATAAAATCATATACTACTACTTAATTTCTAAACTAGTAGAATTAATACTATAGTAGATAACTAGCTAATTTATATAAATCCTTTTCTAAATAGATTAGTAAATATTTTTTATAAGTAAAGTAGTTCTTTTTTATTTATATTATAAAGAGATCTATAGAATAGTAGTTTTTTAATATTATTTATATTATACTTTAGTAGTATTTTATAATTAATCCCTGGACAGTATAGTAATAATTTCTTAATTAATTATTAATTAAAAATATCTAGTTATTATTAGTAGTATTTTAGTAACTTATTTTTTAGATTAATATATTTTTTTAATTAAAGTATTTTTTTAATATTATCTAGTAAAACTCTTCTAATATATAATTAGTTTAATATTAATTAATTATATAGAAGCTAATAAATTACTAATATTATAATTTATTTAATATATAATATTTTAATTTTTTTAGATCTAATTAATTAATTTATATAATTCTAATATCTTATTTACTTATCTGTTTT